TATATATATATATCTTTAATTTAAAATTTCCCTCTACAATCTATTTCTATTAATGTACGATGTACTTCCATATGATGGTTTTAAATATTTGCGAAAATCAACATTTGCATATTTGCTGTAGTTTGCAATTGTGTATGACGATATTAATCTCAAGGGACATGAAATTCTATGAATTTTTATCGAATAAAATCGAGTTTTTAAATGTGTACTCATATACATATACGTGTAACTACGAAATCTCGGAGAGAATCGAATTCTCAAACACTGCGTTTTGGAAAAGCTGGAATTTCAGTCTAAATTAATTTCAGGCTGAGTGATCCACACTATTTTATTCAGTTTGTAATTGATAAAAACATTCGATAAACGAATGTTTTTATCAATTACAAACTGAAATCTCAAATCTTCAATTAACTAATTCATATGAACAGATTCTTCTTTCGCATTTTGATAGTTAAAAACATTGGTTTGTTTATACATAAATTCTATTATAATTAAAGCAATTAAATGTGTATGAGATCAAAATTTTTTACATTTTATTTTTAAATAGATGAAATTTTAATTAAAGATAATTACATGTAATAATTGTGAATGTTTCAATATTTAAAAAATATGTATTTTTACATTTTTAAAATTTATGAAGCTCCTTTAAGCTTATTTAAGAGTTTTCTCTAGAACAATAAGTTATCTTTTGCGAATGTAAAAATAGAAAATGTTTTCATGATTGTTATTTGTGCTTATTGTGTTAGTTTCGAACAACATTTCAGAATTCGTTGTTCAAAGCTAATAATAACATCTAAGATATAAAGTTATAAGTGAGGCGACGTGGAAAGAATGTTTCTTGATGGTATCCATGATTGCGTATAGTATAGCTATCTGAAGCAAAACAATCAAAACGCTATTTGTTTGCTGTGCATCATCTATCTTCCGCGCCGAAATGTTCATTAAGAATATGAAAATAATAAAATAATAGAATGATGACACTTTGAAAAAAACTTACATTTTGCATTTAAACTTCAATTTTATATATATTTTTAACATTTAAGAACGTAGAGAAAATGTAAAAAAGAATTTAAGAAAGCTTAGCGAAAAATTAATAACTGCAAAAATTAATAATAAATTCTTTTCAACGTCAAAACGCAGGAGATCGATTATTTTCGATATTGCAAATAAACCTATTTGTAAGAAAAACAATAAGGAAGAAGAGTTTGTTATTGAGTACTTATTAGTGCCTTTTGTGGATTCGATAAGGATACTTGAAGAAGTTTCTCACAGACTGCTAATTAGAGAACGGTATGCATCGAATCTAATTTAACTAAAGTTCGCAAACGACACGTTCGAATCGCCGCGAACTTTTAGCAGGAATTTCCTTTTCCATCGGATGTGAAAGACACTCTGAGGTGGCGCGTGCGGGCGAGTGTATATTTAGCGAGATATATCTCTGCTGCAGCGATCGTGATACACATACTGAATCAAAGATTCCGACTGTAATTAGTGTCTCTGATCGAGTCGAATTATAGACGAGCAGCGTTGTCCAGAACAACAGGAAATTGATCTGTGCAATCTAGATTAGCGAGACGTAAAACGGGATAAAATTTGGCGAGATGCCACAATATTTTCGCGAAACTAAATGTAATTTAATTAACCAAAATAAAAGCTCGTAAATAGGACAAACACAAATCGAACGAAAATTTTGAAAATATTAATGTCTATGAAATTTTATTTTTTATTTCGGAAATGATTTTTTTAATTATTCGAGACGATCAAAAATTATATTTGCGTAATGAAAAATCATTATTTATATTTAAAAAAGAAAACTGTTATTATTTTGTTTTGCAATTGCAAAAATTGAGATTTTGTCAATTAGATTAATTATGAGAAATCGAACGTGAAATTAAAGAACTTTAATTTCATGCGAAATAGCCATTAAGATTCATTTATTTGATTTATGCAGAACGGCCAACGAGAGAGCTTATTTATACTAATAACTAACTTTATAATTTCCATTAGATTGGTGATTAATAGAGGCTTCTGGAACAATTATTAATAATTATTCCAGTCCATAATGTCAATTGATAATTACGCAATGAATAAACGTTACATCTATCGGATTCGAATGCTAAACTGAACGAGCTACATTATTCTGACTAATAAAGCTCATTAAAAACCGATATCGTATTGCGATTATATTACGTGCCGTGCGAAAATAGTAAGAAAAAAAGTAATAAAATACGCGAAAAAAATATCGATCGTTCAACATGCAGACTCACTTACCCTTGTAATAAAAGAGGCAGTACTCGGAGAGAACGAACCAACGCTTTTTCCATAGCATAAGACCCTCCGAACCTTGTTTATGCAACCATCCCTGCAGTGCAACGGGGGCGGAGAGGGGTCTTTTCGCAGCGGGCGAACGCAGACCGCCTTGAGGACCGCTCCGCCTGCGCACCCCCGACACGGAAGCTGCCACCACCGAGCCATCGTGCTTGCTACGTACCTGAACCGGTACGGCGGGCGGTGTGCTCGACTGGACAATCTGTAAAATAAAATGCACCTTTTCTTATCAAGACACTCATTTACAAATCTTACGAGCGACGTTGCATCAATGTCGCTTGAATTTAGTTTGACTAAATTAAAACTGTCCTATATTCTGAGATGTGAAAGAGGATGAAAAATCAGAAATAGTAATTAAGTAATGGTTAAGATTAATCGCTCATTATTCCTTAATTAGTTTCAAGAACTGATTTTTATAGAACTTCCACTTAAAATTTAATTACCACGATGTTTAATGCACATAACTTGAATGTGAAATCTAATCGAATTTTCATTAGCGTGAAATTAATCGCAGGATTTGATTGCTATGCTCATCATTAAAATATACATTTATACGATTTAAAATGGACAAATTTTGAAGGCGATCCACTTGGTGCTACAAATGCTTCGAAATATTTGATTGATCAATCAAGAATGCTTCAAAGCATTTGTAGCATCAAATGAATCGTAGTCTTAATTTAAAAAAAAAAAAAAAACATTCACATCTATTCACATGATATGACACATAAATTGCGATTGAATATTTTATTATATATATAAGTTTATTTATTATTATTTAGAAAACATGTATCATGTCATGGTGTTGAAATGAAGTATTGAGTAGCTTCAAGCATTGTCCAAATTCGAAGAATTTACAACGTAAATGCGATGTCGCGAGATAAAGATAGAAAGCTGGAAGTAATAAATCTTCGGTGAAATTTGGAATCTTTCTCGCGCCACGATCAGCACGCGGCCGAGATCTCGACACCTTTTATTCGGTGCCTTCCCCGAATGCGGCTGATCGAAATCCGTTTTTCCGCTTGCCGACGCGCCACGTTATCGCACAAAATTGCCGTTGGCCGACAAAAATTTCGCCACGCCACTCGGAACGTCTATCCGATAATGAAAAGCCATAGAAACGAAAAAAGGAAGAAAAGACTCCCGGTGCAGATAGCACGATCGCCCTTCGAACGTGAAATTCGACCGATCTGTCGATTTTCCTCTTCTTGTGACGCTTGTTGGGAAGAAAAGAAAAACACAGATCGATATTCGACGAATGAAACGACCACTAAATAACTAATTACTCAATAGATGTGTGTTGGATAACGGGATACATTTTCAATGATGAAAAAGCACATGTCTCTGCATTCTCTGCAAAGTTCAGTTAGATTTAATTCTCGAAATAGATCGGGTGTATTATGCAGCCTTGCTATCGATTTCCCTCCACCTTCCTATCAGATTTAAAAATACATGCGCAAAAGAGCGCCAAGGTATTGGTCTCGGTACAAAAGATCGGAGAGAGTGGGAACACTCGAAACTCCATTCCTGAAGTGGAAATGAATAATTTACCGCTCGCTCTATCTCGTTTGACTCTGCCTAGTTCTTCATTTTTCCCTAGAATTTTACGAGACATCCCGAATGCACGAAAAATAGTTTACATATTTGCTACGATCGCAAGTTTCGTTCGTACTACGAGCAAGATATTGCGACGATATTGAACGATAGAACGTTAGCATTAACGTCGTTCGAAAAGTTTACAACTCGCCGGCGAATCAATATGCCATTTCGTAATATTTTTCCGTTGTGTTCTTTCATGTGTTATTAAAATTTATAGATGGAGTCACAAATTTGCAAGTTTATAAGCATCTATCGCAAGGTGCTATATGCCGGAAAATCTCAATGTTTTATGCGCAATGCGTATGCTGCTTTCCCAGGGTTGTCACAAATTCCTCGTCCTAAAATTTCATTCTTTCATTTATAGTTTTTTACAGTTTTCCAGCATATTAAGATCTCTTTAATAGATGTCCATTGAACATCAATATTTAATTATGCTACAGTAGTTTAGTTGCATCTCTAACCTCCGGCATGCACCAACGTTATTTTAATTTTAAGCGAGGCTTAAAACTCTCTTTCTGTCTCTTTTCGGTTTTAAAATGAGGTAGAGTTTTAAGTTTCGCTTAAAATCTAAGTAATGGTGCAACCGGACTTAAGTCCGAAAAAATTAATTCGGCGCGCAATTCAAATGACTACAAATATAGTACATATCTGTGTACATTATATAGTATATATAATTCACATGGAATTATTTAAGCTGTTAAAGATCCCGTTTCAATCGTTATGAGCCTTTATTTCCTATTTCCTCTTGTGGTTGTGTTTTTCATTTATTTTGTTTTCACATTTATAGTCCAATAAGATCCTTATTTCCATATTTTTCGTTAATTTCCTTAATTAGACAAAATTTCATGATTTCTCTTAACTTTCAATATTTTGAATTTTTTGTATTTTAATTCTGATCTAATTTTTGGAAACCAATATATTTTAAATATTTTTGTTGAGAGAGTAATTTAACATAGCAATGTAAATTATTATTAATATTACTGACGCTACTTGCATTTAATTATTAAGCTGGTAGTATTTCAAAATTAGGTGTAATGTGCGCTATTAAACCTCTTCAAAACCAAGAATTTTAATCTTCCAGAAAATTCCCTGACTTTTCCCTGATTTTTCTGAACGTTTTCAATTTCCCTGATATTTCCTTGATTTTCAGTTTTGATGACCGTGTCTCCTTATATCGACAACATTATACTTTCAGACGTGACACTTGCCAAATCTTACTTCTTGGAAGAGCTTCTATCAACAAGAAACTTGTAGATACGTTTTATCTAAGAGGTTATAAGAGGGACAGGTCTTGGAAAATGCTCCGTTTTCTTGGACGCCCGTAGTTCTCTGGCGCTCTCAGAAACGCCGATAACACGAGCTGTATTTTTCAGGAATACAAAGTGCCACGGACGTCTGTTTGAGAAACTTGCAGGATACGACACACGTATATAACGCGCGCACGTATAGCACATTACAGAGTGTCCTTAAATTGCGAATAGTACGAACTACACCATTGGCCATTTGCCTCTCCTAGAGAATGCATCAAATAACACAATGCATACATTGTCGATGCAAGAGGAAGTCACCTCTCGTGATTGATCTCCCCTCACAGAACGGCGATTCTCAACGTTACGCAGGAGTTGCCGCAGACGAACATTAGCGTTCGTTTCGTCTTCAGTGCGCGGTCGTCCGTCTCGTCCGTGAAATTTCTCCTATATATGAGCTTTCGTCACGTCACGAAAAAGCCGGACACGGAAGAGGAGTCGCCCGGGTAATCCGTTAAATTACAAGAGCTGCTCGCGCACAGTTCCTCGACGACGGAAGCAAGTACGAGTTTCGCTCGACCAAAAAAAGACGAAACTCATCCGGAGTTCGCCGATCCCGAGGAAAACTTCGTTTCCGCGGGACGGGAAAAGCGACCGAACTCTCGCGGCAAACTTTCGCTCTCTCTTCCTGCTCTCTCTCTCTCTCTCTCTCTCTCTCTCTCTCTCTCTCTCTCTCTCTCTCTCTCTCTCTCTCTCCCCTCTTTTCACGGAGGCGTCGAATTAAATCACGCCCGATTCGTATCGCTTACCATTATCTCCAACGAGGTAATCGAGTCACACGACACTAATTCAAGCGAATGTCTCTAATTGGCAGAGCAGCGCCGGATGATTTTCACGCTAGATCTCTACCATTCTCACTTACACAACGGCCGGAATGCAACTCATTAAACATTGCGGTTTCGAGCAGTAGGTAATAATCGATCGCGGGGGAATGACTATTATTTATAGAGATCCATGCCCCATGCCAATTCCCAGCGACGTGACTTGTTGTAATTTTATCATTTTCTCTTCATGAAAATAAATTCTAGCGATAATAATGCTTGTTTGTTTCCAAAAGAAATTCAATTTCGGTATATCTAAAATTTATAGCACGATTACTAGTAAATATCTAGCAAACTTGTACCTTTTTGTTGTCCATTCCGGGCGTAGAGCTGGTCACCGGCTGGTCGAGCCTGTAACAAAAGAATAAATAACTTTGAATTATTTATGACGAGAAATACAACATGACTTATTTCTTATGACATTTATAATTTAACAAGTACATTCTTACGTCAAGTTTGATGCTCTGTGAACTGTTATATTGTCACTACAAGAACTTTTTTATAATATATCAGAGTTGTCACAAAGCTAAAAATTAAAGAAATACGGAAAACGGTTAGGAAAATCAAAGAAAAGTCAGAAAATTTTGCAAAATTTTCTGGAAAATTAAAATTCTTGGTTTTAATGAAATTTAATGCATACATTATTTATATAGTTTTGAAATACTATCAACTTAACAATTAAATGGAAGCTGTTAACTGCTATGTTAAATCGCTTTTTCAATAAAATATTTGTCGGTTTTCAAATCAGAATAAAAATACAAAAACATTTCGAAATAATATCGAAAGCATCAGGGAAAAATTATGAAATCTTGTCTGAAAATCAGGGAAAAGTTATAGAATTTTAGGATAAAGAACTTTTGACAACCCTATATATTTCGCTACATTTTCTTCCTTAATTCTTCTAGTTTCAAAATAATCATATCATATATTTCTCGAAGGATATCGAGCGATCGTCACATACGCGATTCGACGACGATCTCGACCTGGATTCTTTTTCAGACAATACGAAACTACTCGGTGTTTTTCAGCATTGAAAATTTATAGACCACGCAACGGTAAGATTGGTCGATATCACGGCCTTAAAAAAAAGAAAAGATTCTGAAATGAAAGTTTCATTCGACAAGTTTCCGCGCTGGAGAACCGTCATTTTACCCAGCAGTAACCGCATATTGAAATAATATAATGCTACTATATGTAAAACACGTATTGTTCCTTTAGAAAACCGCTAGACATTCGCGGTTGCGAATTGCCCCGGTTAAATTAAACGATAAAATAATTTAATCTGACGACGAAATCTAATACGTTGTGAATTTTAAACAATAGAACATTTTAACTTTATTCAGCTTTATTATTCTCGGGCCTCGCTTTATCTTCTCATTTTCTTTATTTCGCTCTTTTACGAGAGAATCATATTTTTATGTGTACTTTTTTTTTAAACGGATGTGATTGTTTGGCGCACTGCCCTATTCGCCATTTTTACGCCATTTCTATACGAAAAGTCACGTTCCATTGTGGCAATCGCTGTAGCTGCAATGGCATTTGCTACTACAGGGAAGAAAGGGTCAACACACTATGCAGAGGATGCCCTTGCGGGCTGTGTAGTTCGCAAAGGCATAACGCGCCATCGCTTTTTATTACCCACGCTGCACGTCGATAGATGCAATGTGGTTGCGCGACGTGACGCGTGGCTGTTCGTTTGGAAAGTCGCCTCGGTTAGCGGAAGAGATCGATTTATTGTCCCGGATGGTTTTATTCCTAAGAGCGGCGAGCACGTACGTTACGCCCAATCCGTAATACGGTTCTGGTCCATCGTCATTGTGGCCACCAGTAGTCACGGCTGGTGGACGTTGTACGTGACGAGATGCACGCGTGCACTGAGAAATGATTTTGTTATAGGAACAAATCAAGGGAAAGTAAATGTGATATTTGTTAAAAAACCGATCGATTTGTTACGATTGCAAATT